CTGTCTCTGTCTACGCATACATTTCAAAATGATTGGGTTATGTCGGTTTTTGCTCCGTTTTTGGTTTGACAATTGTTTACCAACTTCATCCGTCACAAACAAATGAAATTCATCATGATAAATGGCATTTTAAATCCGAAACAAATTACAATTGATGCTCTATTTGCATTGCCATTGAACAGGGAAATTAATTACATTACAAACTAAGTTCTCATCCGGAATGCTCGGGGTTGATTGTTTGTGACAAACGTTTTTATTTTTTATATTACATTCGGGGTTGACATTTGAACATGAAAAACCAGTAAATCAGAGAAACAAATTGAAATTCTCGAAGAGAAAAAGGATCAATTTCAAGGCAATTTTTTTGTTCGTCAAAAATTGACCAGATCGCCTTTGTCCATGAACGAAAAATCGAAGAAATAATTCCTTAGCAGCTCAAAAACACTCGAAACACGTGTATCCCTTGTCTACAAAATCATTGATATTTTTCTCTCACCACGGCATTTTCGGCAAAAGTTCAATGTCAAAACACAGCATGAAATGTTTCGATCAACACCACGCATGAAATTGAATATTTGATGAGAGTGAAAACGGCTCTTATTCTCACCCAACCAGTAGATATATACCGAAAATAAAACAACGAATTAGAAAATGGACATGAAAAAAAAAATTGAATTGATTTGACTATTTATAACATCTGATTCGTTTTTTTTTCCATCTTCAATATCGAAGAGCAAATTATAGCCGATTTTCGCGTCGATTGCAATTGAATTTTTATTTTTGGCGATTGATGTGGAAATAAATCGAAATAAAATGAAACGCCAACCATTTGTTTTATATCAAGAGAAAGCGAGAAACAACATTTTGCGATTTAACAAGTGTTTTTCGTACACTTGAGTCAAGCCCTCTTCACGCGCCACCAAAAAAAAAAAAACTCCCACACAAACCATTTTGCACACAAATATGCACCGAAAATAGCTCTCTCACACACACACATATGTCTAAAACTGAATTTTATTTTAAATTGAAATTAAAATGAAAAAAATCCATTACCGAACTCAAGAGCACGACGGTTCTGGAACGGATGTCAAGTGGAAATAGCTGCAAAAAACAACAACCTGCAAATGTGTAAAAATAGAATTGAATGCATCTATAAATAGAATTCCATTTTCAGTTTTACAACAGTGTCTGTTACACAGAATTGCAATACGTTCTTTGTTAAAGTGGCTTTTCTCTCTCTCTCTCTCTCTCTCGCTCTCTTGTTTTGTTCCGAAGTGCCCGTGGCATGAACCGTGTCAAGATGCAACCAGACGAATTTCTGAAATAAAAAAAATGTGTAAGGTCACATGGGAACATACTATAAATTCATAGGCACGAAACTACCATACCGAAGGATAATATAATGAAATTGATTGCAATTTTTTTTATCGCAATGTTTTTATTTTTGGATCGATGTCAATTATTTGTTTATTTTTTTTTGGAGCTTACAACTGAAATCAATTTTTGAATAATGTTTCCCCTTTTTTTCGTGGACTTTTCTTTGCGAAAAATTCTTTTCACCCCGAAGTTTCGGTTTTACATGAACTGCTGCTTTTGATTTCGAACATTTTTTTTCTTTGCCCTCTTTTTGACTGTTTGTTATTTTAATTCACAAGAAAAAATATTCAAGAGTACATTGGTAGATTGCTGGGAAAAAACATGGCAAACTTTTTTTTAACGACCTTTTATTCTATTCACAATAAAAAAGAAATATGTTTAACAAGGCTAATTTTAATAAGTAAGACTTAAAATGCAAACAATGAGTAGTCAAAAGTCATTGATTCGACATCGAGAATTCTTTTTAAACAGTCGCCCTTTCACCTTCACCCATATCTTTTTCATTCAACGTTTGTATGACTTACGGTGTGTATTAGCGCGGATTTTTATGTTATTGGATGTGATTTAAAATCGAATCGTATTCGACGTTCGATTAGGGTACTTGCAAAAGGGAATATTGAAATAATGGTGAAAAGCAAATAAAATATCATCGATCACATAATGGACATATTGAACAATGATGTGAATTGTATGTGTGATGTAATAATAAAAATGCCCCTGTTGTCGGAAGTACCGAGGGAAATAGCCATTTACACAAATATATTGATTGTTATTACAATAGAATCATATGTACTTATGCACATGCCATTATTTGAATGCAATCACAGAGAACGGTCTCTATGTGTGGTGCAGAGATCGGTCGGTTTGTATATTTTGTTTCGACACAGACTGAATCAATCTTTCGATCTATCAGTTTCTCTGTAACGTGTCTCTAACTCCTGCTGTATCTCTCTCTCTCTCTCTCTCTCTCTCTGTTGTGAACAAAGCCAAAAATAATATGAATAGACACAAGAGCGGCACCATTTTTCCATCACAGTGTTCGGTGTGGTGCATTGTGCATACAGCATCTGGTGGTGATGATTTATATTCACGGTATAATCCGTCTGGGCATCACTGTTCGCCAATTCGTCGCGCATTATTTCACGGTCATTTTTGTATTTAATCATGTTTATTGGAAACACAAAACAGCAAAGCTAAAAAAAGAAGTTCTCACCATGCCATGAATTGGAAACAGTTTGACTTAACTGTTTTTATCGAGTTTTTTTTTTCGTTTTGTTTCATTTCTTTTTCATATTACAGTTATATGCATTACATACTGTGCATGTGCATAAAAGAATTTTTCATTTGGCTGACAATCTTTTGTTACTGTTTCAAAGTCATTTACTGTCATTTGCACGGTTTTTCTACCGTTTTCAATTTTACCCCCGTTCTTTTCATTTTTTTTTTTCGTTTACTGCTACTCTTTTACGCATTTTTTCCCTCTTTTTTTCTGTGCGAGTTTTTTCTGTTCATTATGACCTTTGAAAATCTCGATTTTTGTCTTTGAATACAGAATATGCTGCTGGCTTTACTTTTTAATGCACTTTCAAAAGTAGTTTTCATCAGCTTTGTTCATCTCATTTAACTGCAGTCATCCATTTATACAAAGTTTTTAATTCCATCCAGTTCCATTGGATGTTATTTGCTCCTCTGGCGACTCGAAGTAATTTCTATGAAATGGCGGAAGTAAATTGTCAAATGCGAAAATGTTGTAACATGCCTCTTTGAATTTCGGAATTTTTGTACCGATCATTGTGATTGGCCATGGGGAATATGGGCAAAATTGAATTTATTGAATCGAGGCAATTTATTTGAAATATTTCTCACAGTTGGACTAAATTTTGTTTACATGGTTCATTTGGTTGGTAACAGAGACATCACTGTTGCCTATCTTCTTGTTACAAAGCATCCGATCGTGTTTGTGTGTGTCTTTGTATGTGATGGATGGAAAACCAATCACGAAACGCACACAATATTTGCTTTTGTTTCACCACAAAACCCAGGAAAATGGTGTAAGTAGTAAAAGTGTGTACACGAGCACAGCGCACGTTTCATTTATGAATTTATGGAAAATTTATGGACTTGATATTTTATATCATTCAAATAAATAACAAAACAAAAACCAACAACAATAAAATTCCACACGTTTGCATCGATTTCGGGCTCTTTTTTTGTTTGGTGTGAGAAAAATTTGGTCGAAACACATCGAGGAAAGAGAAATAGGGAATCATAAAAAAAAACGATTTTGTTGTCATAAACAAACGAATCAAACGGCTCGGTATCGAAATGTGTGAATTGTTTAATTGGAGAAATGTATTTGGAGCGGATGGCTAAAGAATGCCGAATGAGCAAGAAAGGGAGGACTGGGGAGGAAATGGAAAAAAAGAAGGAAGAAAGTTACAGAAAGAAAGAGACAGAGCAAAAGAAGGGGAGAGAGTAAGTAAATAATGGAAGAGAGTGAATGAGATAGAGTAAGCAAAATGTGGAGAAAGTAGCACCGAAATCAGAGAGAGAGAAGTAGTAATGGTGTATGTGTTGTTTATCCTTGACCTTTGAAACTATATTCATATTTTGCACTACATATTTTTCCAAAGCAGACTGCGATAGCGAGTGCATGTATTGTGGCCGTATTTCAATGCCGTGCGAACTACGGCACACTCTCGCATTCAATGGAAATGAATAAGCAAGATATAATTTATCACTATGTTTCACATTATATTTGGTTGTGGTGTGTTTTTGTAATCATCCATCCAATTCAAGAACCATTCAAAATCGATTGTATAATAACCGAGACCATGTTTCCATTTTGATTAAATCAATGGACAGTAAATACCATAACAAAAACGGCGTACGGCCAACCCGCCATGAGAAAATGTAATAACATTAATAGCATTGTACGATAAGCTGCAGCACACATCATGCCCTGCGGCCCAAATGGAATTAATTAGAGTGCCACATACCAGTAATAGATAATCATCTGTGTGTGTGTATGTGTATTACTTTATTACTGTTGCCGTTGTTGCTTTTCGCTCAATATTCATCGTTCAAAATAGTAAAATGGGACAAAGCAATTAAAAGTTTAAAACTCAACAGATTTGATAAAGTGCACAGGTCATATGCCCTGATTACATACGGTTACAATCTCTCTTACTGTTTCTATCTCACCATTTCACTCTCCTCTTTTGCCACTTCACTCTGTGCCATCTGGTTTCTGGTGTATTCATCCGTCAAATGCTTTTTCAAAAATGACACCATTTCCTAATGCGATTTTCCAGTTCAATTTGAGTGAATGCGCACGCTAAAAACCATCGTGGATAATAGAATATAAAAAAAAATCAATTTCCTTATAGTTTCTCTCTCTGGCGATTTTCACTCGAATTGAAGTGCTGTTACATCGATGAACTTTAACATTTTGCTATTTTTGTATTACAAAATGGGAAATTAGCTGAAAATTCATTTTTGTTTTCTCTTTGAGCTTTCGGAGCATAAAATGTCAATCCCTTTTTTTCGATCTATTTTTATCCCCGAGAAAAATGCCAATTTTAATCCGATGATGCTATTTTTCAATTGTTCGGTTTTTGTAGGCGGACGCCAGCCTGGGAATGTTGGAACGAGAATACTTACGCGAATCGTTAAGCTATGTGTTGGCCATACAAGATGTACAGGAACGTATTAAATTTGAATTTGTTGAAACGCTACTTGGTTTTATGTCCGGATGGTTAGTGTTCTATCATTTGGGACATGAAATTGCCGAAGACGCTAAAGAATATATGACCGATTTACAACATAAAGTTCAAAAGGTATGCATTCATTTTATCGGATATTTCTGCTTTTCTGCTGACACTAAATGTTTTTACTTTGTCTTCGACAGACGAGGGAAAACTTCGACGAAACCCGCATGAAAGCTGAAGAATTGAAAGCAAAATACATGGATAGTAAAATGGTAAGTGTTTTTTTTTGTCGTTTAATTCGAGGAATTTTTGAACAACTATTCACATAAAAGACCAAAGCGTTACGGCGGAAAATCTATCAAAAAAGTTTAATAATGATTTATTGTATCTTTTTCGTTTCTCAGAAACCAGAGACCGAGTTCACAAAACAGGGATATCTATTTCTAATGGAAAAAAGTAAATTAAGTAAGTTCTGACATTTAATTTTTACTTTATTTTGTATGAAAATAATGTTGTAATTCGATTTGCATATTAATTTCCTTCTAATTAATTTATTTTGCATTGAAAATTTTGCAGAGGCCTTTACAGCAACATGGTCAAAATTCTATTGTACATACAAAAAGCAGCAGAAACTGTTTTCAATGTTGCCATACAATCAAATATCGGGAAGAACAGAACAGCCGCCAGAAACATTGACACTGACAACGTGCACCCGACGTGCATCAGACTTTGAGAAACGGTTTTGCTTTGATTTAACTTTCGAACAAAAACCAGGCGTTACATTCACATTTCAAGCGTTAAGCGAAGAAGATCGCAAGGTCTGGTTAAATGCAATGGATGGCAAAGAACCGGTAATTGACACACATTTTTTAATATAATTTTTTCCATTCTTAAAAAAAATTCACTGAAAAAAATTAAATGAATTTTCAATCAATTTTTTTAATTGACATTTTTCTTAAAAAATTAAAAATATTTTTTTAAATTTTAATTTTTGATTTTTTTGATTTTTTTTATAATTTGGTTTATTTTATTTTGCAGACATATTTAGCACCGGGCAAATCGAAATCAAATGAAGAATATTTATTGGACGATGTTGGATTTGCGTTTGCCCGTAAATGCATCGAAATAATGGAGGTGCGTGGACTGGAAGAGGAAGGTCTGTATCGTATCGGCGGTGTAAATACAAAAATAACGAAATTGCTGACACTTGGCATGGACCGTAATAAGACTGAAAAGGAACGATTGCAATTCTTTCACGATGAGCAACATTCTGATTTACTCGAGACCAAAACCATTGCCAGTGCTTTAAAACATTATTTACGGAATTTAAATGAACCGTTGATGACATATCGATACCATAATGGATTCATTGCAGCAGCGAGTAAGTTTTGTGCCGATTTCAATAAAAATTAGAACAAATTATTTGCGAATGACACGTGATTAAAATGAATTTTTAAATTTTAGAACAAGAAACCCGAATCCAGAGAATCAGCGATGTACATACACTAGTTTATCGGCTACCCAAAGTCAATTTCGAGATGCTCGAAATCATAATTCGCCATTTAAAAGCGTAAGTAACGGCAATTTTCGTATTTTTTTCATTTTTTACATGAAAATTCATGATTTTTGAAAGTAAAGAATCAAAAATCGATGTTGAAAAATTGAAAGAAAAACATTCGAATAAAACTGTTTTTTTTTCTTCTCAATAGTGTGTCAATGAAATGCCATAAGAATAAAATGTCCGTATTCAATTTGGGTGTGGTGTTTGGCCCGACGTTATTGCGTGCGGCTGAAGAAACATTAGCTGCCATCCTCGATATCAAATTCAACAATGTTGTCATTGAAATTTTGATTGAAAATTATGATTTGATATTTAAAACGTCGCCGGGTAAGGCGAGCGAATATTTGTCACATGCCCAAACAAGTCCACCAGAGCCAGTGCCACGAACATACGGTGGCTATCGTTCGAATCGTAATTCAATCAATAATACACAGCCATTGATGCGTGTGGTGACCCGTGTAAATTACACAGACACTGGAATGTCATCGAGTTTACAGAACATTCCGAATGGTGCAAACAGCATTTATCAAAATTCCAACAATAAAATCGTTAAAAATCATCATCCGATTTATGAGGCAAAACCAACGCACATCAATCAATTGAATCAATCGACACCGTCGTTGGCCGGTCGTGATGTAAACCACATCATTGCACCCACACGCGAATTGAGCATTGGCCGTGATAATGGCAGTGGCCTGAATTATTTGACATCTTCGTCGCCGAATTCAAATCATTTGAGCCAATCGCCAATTCATCGAAGCGGTAACAGCAGCTTAAGCAGTAGCATTCATCATGAACAATCGATATCACCATTGCAATCAAATCATATTAACAATCGTGATAAGCTATTGAATAGCAGTCGTGAAAATTCAACATCGCTTAGCCGAACGCCCGATTCAGTTTATGTACAACTTCAGTCGCAGCGATTAAACGCACTGAATTACAGTGAAAATAATTTGGTGAATCCAGTGTCGTCGGTCATTGATCGCATCAATTCGACAAGCAGTTCGAATGAATCAGTATGCTCCACGTCGTCTTTGAATCATTCGTATACAAGGCAACCGCCAACATCACAACAGCTCAAACATTTACAAACAAGTGGCAGCGGAGGCGGTGGCCAAATGCAAACCGTTCAAGCAACCACGTTACCTAGTTACATGGATTACAACAGCAAATCCAACAATTATGACACTAGTCAAAGCTATATGCCGAAAAAGACACAACGCACCAAGGACATTGCACGCCAACGATACAATTCGCCGAGGGATAATGTGTATGTATTTCATAGATAATTCAACGTTTTTTTTTGTTTGTAATTCACTTATTTTGATTATTCGATCTTTTACAGGCGCGTTCGAACATTATATGCATGCATGGCTGAAAATGATGGAGAACTTTCGTTTGAACCAAATCAAATCATTACAAATGGTGAGTGCCTCTTTCAAAGAAATTCAAGGAAAATCATGAAAATTCGTTGAAGAACCTCGAAGAACTCAGAAACTCACTGCTCACAGTGCCTATATAACACCTCGGTTAGATACCCTTAAGTAAAAATTTGCATGTGTGCTCTCAAGCGCTGCCAGCACAAGCCTTCATACTGAATTTTCTGTTATTTCAAATGATTTCTTCCTATGGTGTGGTCTGTAGTGTGAAGTTTTGAGTTTTAAAAATGGAAAATTTTCCCCAAAATGTTTTTTATTATTTTTAAAAATATTTCAGCAATAATTCTAACCAAAATAATTTTCCTTTTTCAGTTCGTCAATCAAATGAGCCGGGCTGGTTGGATGGCACATTGAATGGAAAATCGGGTCTAATACCTGAAAATTATGTCGAAGTCCTAAAATAATAATAAACAAGCGCACGTACCATCCAATGGTCAATGTCTTTTTGTCAAGTCAATGTTGAACGACAACACCAATATAAATAAATCCAAAAAAAAAAAACAAATGGAAAAAGTAAAAATGGAAGCGAAATGCATGAAAAAAGAAACCAGAACCTTATCAATTCCATTATGAAGTATTTATATACATATATATTTTATTATACTATGCAACAAAAAAAAAAAATATGAACAGAAAATCACTTTACAAAAATCTAATGATTAGTGAGCTAACCTACTGAAGAGCATTTTTTTCATTTTGAACATACCTGTTGTATTATACTAGAAATAGTGTTTATTATTATTATATTACTTTATTGTGTAAAATTTTTCCGAAACAAAAAAAAAACGAGGAAAAAAAGAATACACGCGACATTTGGTGTGTTTTAAATTTCTTCCCACAACACACACACACATATATACACATTCGGTGGAAGAAACTGTATTTCTTAATCCCGTTCACTTTTTGAAATTCAATCACTGTTTTAGTTTTTGCCTATCCCCACCCCCAAGTTTTTTGTTTGTTTCTTTGTACGATATATTCTAATATATTTAATGGAAATACTTTAAGTTAATTTCAATCCCATTTAAGTTATACGATAAGTTCGAATCGAAAATGATTTAAAAACAACAAAACAAAAACAATTTATGCAAGTCGAAAATGATTGATTTCAGTTATGAATAAAAAAAATATATTCGATTCATTAAAAATTGGCAACCTTTTTTTGAGTTTTTTTTTTCTTTTGTTTCGAAATTCAGATTTTTTGACAAATTTTAAATCATAAGGAGCATGATTTTTCAAAAAAGGATTTTGCATGGATTGGAAACAAAATCGTTTGTTGATTTAAAAATTCGTTTAATTTTTTTTTCAGAGTGATATTATGGTTTTGGACTTGTTACGAGAAAATATGAACGAATCTGAAAGCAAATTTCAAAATTTGAAATGTCACATCTATTGAATTAGCACCACGACAATAGGAGAGTATGTTTTTCTGTAGATATCAGAGACTGTTTCTCAGAGCAACAAATGTGAAGTGAGGAGCGCAGAAACTCAATATTTTGCTCCAAACTGAATGCTCGTCTGGCTCCTAAAAGCATTCAACCTCACATATATTGCATCTCTGAGCAACAGATCTCTGGCAGATATAACTGAATGGTCATACAAAACCGTACTCTCATATTCAATGGACACGTGAATACAAAAGAGATAGTTTGAATGGTGCCTCCTTTGAATTCATCCCAAAAAAGCTCACATAAAAAACCGATGATTGACAGACGAGGTGTCGGTATATTCTATGGAAACGATCTAGTTCCTCGCTTTTGTTCCCAATTAAACATTCAATACAAAAAAAAAAAGAAATCCAAAAGCAATTATTTACACGGTTTCAGTGTTTTTATCTAGTATGATTTTATTTTGCACTCCCAAAAAATATATACTGATAGTAGAAAACTATTTCACTCCGAAAAAAAACGAACTACAGTACTTGAGTATAATACTGTAATGAAAAAATTGAAAGTTCGTTTAGGTCTCTATTTGCCTTCACGTAAGCTTCATCTCACCTTCATTCATTTCCTCGTCTGTTTCCTGCTGCAAATTGTAATCTAAACTCTTATGTCTCATAAATTCATATCGAATATTTTTATCAAATACCATTCCAGGGACCATCATTCAGTCACCACCCCCTCCTCACACTTACAACGAAAACCAAGCCATTTTTTGTTTACAACCAAAAAAACAAAAAATCCAAAATATACGTATATGAAAAAGTGGTAAAAAATTGCAATGATTCAAACCCATAAAAAACAACTGTCCGAATTTCATCATTTGTCCATTTAGCGACGAAATATACTACATATTTGTAAAAAATAATAATAATAATACGTTAGGTATTTTATGAGTTATACTCTCTATACAAAATATATCAAAATGAATGCAATAGTCAAAAGCCTGAAAAAATCTTATTGAATATATACTTCATATAATAACGATGAATAGTGAATACACAAAGCAATATTTTATCTCCCGATTTATATTTAAATCTGTGTGTAAATATCTGTACAATTATTTAAACAAACAAATGAAAATAGCACAATAAGTAAAAATGTGCAGGTCAACCATAGACTAAATTCACTTGAACGGCAATTATCAGCTTATTTTCGGCGAAATGGTCTTTAAAAACGGTAAACATTTTACATCTGATTGGTCATTCAGTTTGTTTCTCTATTAACATTCATTTATTGTACATTTTTCTGACGAACAATAAATGAGTGATTTGATCGGTTTGGAAACTACGGACTGATGTTTCAATATTTGAAATTATACAATTCTAAATTGTAATAAAAATACAAGAATTACTATATTAGTTTGGATTTCACGTCGGGTTTAATCTAAATACAATTTGATTCGAAAAACATAATGGCGTAGAATTGCAAATATTTATTGAACAACTTTTGTTTCCGAAACTCAAAGACATCATAAAAAGGTTTAAAATGGCGAATTAAATAGAGAAAACAGTGAAAACAATTCGAGACCAAAGTGAAAGAGTTTCTTTTTCATTCTTTTATATGTATATGTTAAATGTGTCTTATGTCTTAACTATATCTTAAATCAATCCTATAAAAAAAACAATGTAAATTCAATTGAATTCAATGAACAAATAAATCAAAATAATTAGAAAATGTCTCTACAAATTTACAAATTTTGCAATATGGTAAGTGTGTTTTTAGGAAATCGATAAAAATAAAATCAAATCATTTCCAGTCGAAATTTTTGTTTTAAGTAGTTTATTGCCAAAGATGGCAATGTAAAATATAATTCGAGATTATTTATTATTTGTGAGATGACTAACATTTGTGAGATAACTAACAGAATGCTGTAAATTCCATTCACAACTGATTTGCTCAAAGTGAGTTATCATGTGCTGCCTAAGATTATCTAATCGTGAAAACTTCTTCAAGCAAAAATCACAATCGAATGACGTGATGGATTTTATTCTTTCGAAAAATGGATTTTATTCTGCATGTGACGTTTGATATGTGCTGTCTTCAAAGTGACATAGTCGCATTGATCACATTTATAACCTTTTGTTGTACAACTTTTTTCATGTTTATCTTTTTCAGCTTTTGATGAAACACCCAAAAAACAACGTGAGCAACTGAATGGAAATTCCTTGGCGTGAGCTATCATGTGATTCTTAAGATGATCTGGTCGTGAAAAACTCTTCAAGCAATATTCACATTTGTATGGTTTTTCGCCTGTGTGAGTTCGAATGTGTCGTATGAGGTTTGCGTTATTTGTATAAACACGATCACATTGTTGACACTGTACATCCTTTGTTGTACTTGACCAATTTGCTAATTTTGACCGAAAACATCCGCGTTTTCCAGGGAAATTAGTAGAGCTCTCTTCTCTTTTTCTTTTCTTTGAAGAATTTTTGGTGATCGATTTATTTTTTGTAAGCTCAGGGGTGGTTTTGTTCTTGTATTCATCGATTTCATTGACTTCATTTTTATCTCGTTCAGAATCTGATGATGCATCGCCATTATTTTGATCATTTCCATCAACGCGAGGCTTTGATTCTTTGACATCATGATCCTCATCAGAGTCAAGCAGAATAAAAATTCGGTTTGGTTCATCTAACATTTTAATCGATTCGCATTTGATCGGAGCACTTGATTCCGATTTGATGGGATTCGTTGTGTTGCCACCAGATGAATGATTCGAAGATTTCGCTACATCTACTGTATCTTTTTCATCTTCAGAGTTATCGATTTCGATTACATTATTCGACTGACTCGATACTTTTTTGGCCATTCGAGAAACATGTTGATTACACCTTTCTGCGGTTGTCATTATATCTCGCACAACTACTAGATCATCTAATTCAATCTTTACTTCGACTCGATGTGTAACTGGCTTATTATTCACATCAACTACCGTCGGTATATCATTGGTAACTTCTTCTTCACACTTTAAATCGACGTCCGAATTAATGGCAACATCGTCACTTTTATCATTTCCTCTATTATCACTCTGCACATTTGAAACTATGCAGCCATCTACGTTCTCTTCTTGCATCGAAAACATTTGCGCGAATCCCTCATAGGTATCTATTATTCTGGAAAAAAGAGGGAAATAAATTTAAAATGAGTATTGAAATTAAACCAACTGATTGAGATTATAAATTTGAGTGTTGTTTCCGAAATTTACCTTTTGTGCGATTGTCTTATGAAATTGTCCTTAAATTTTGGCGGTAAAAGTAGGTCATTTTTCTTGAACATTGTATGAATGATTTCCAATGTATTTATCTCTTGATTTTCAAAAGCAAATAACATTTTTGATATTTCAACCATGTAGTTGTTCATGATTTTATTCGTTACGTTTCACAATTAAAAGTCAAAAAATTTTCTTATATCAAACAAATAACTCTTTCAAAAGAAATATCTATAAATTGAATTCACTATTTTAATATTTTACTCTCAATGTAAAAGCAATTTATGTTAAATGGAAAATTCTATAAAAATAGAATAATGCTTAAAAATGATTCTGTTATATTGATACCTCAGTGGTTAAAATAAAAATGAACGGAAAATTTATGTGTGAAATATTATATAGGAATTGAAGTGTGTCATTTACTTCTGAAGGCGAACACCATCAAAAGGAAAAATAATTTGTGAGCTTCGAATTTATTTTTGAGTCATTAATAATAACTAATTACTAATTAGTAATTAGTGATGAACACAAATTAGCATTCATTTGGAATTTATACGTTCAATAAATGATTACCTGAGTTTGGAGACTCCCGGAGCTAAAGAATGAGGTTTCATTTGGTTAGAAATTGTACGGAATAATAAAAAACAATGAGAAAAAATGTTGAAGAACTGTAATTATTGAATAACTTTTCATAAACATAAGACAATACATCATAAAATGGTTTAAAGTGGCTGTTAAATGTGAATCAATCCTATAAAAAACAATGTAAATTAAATAATTAAAACCTGATCTATACAATTTTAGCTGGAAAATGTCTCTTCAGATCGACAAATATTGCAAATAAGTAAATAAGTCAAGTGTTT